GGGGAGTGGGGGGAGGGAGGGGTGCTCTCCTTTTCAGAGGCCTTGCAGGAAGGTGAAGGTTCCTGGGACGGAGTGGATGGTGGCCCAGCACCTCCCGCCCCCACACAGAGGAGGAGAGCAGCTGTGTGCCATGAGTAATGTTTGCCACCCGATGCCAACCATACTCTTCCGAAGCGAGATGTCTGCCCACAACTGGCCGCTCCCCAAGTGTGGGTGTCGAGGAGAAAACCAGAGCCCCTGAATTCCTCTGAGGCAGCCTGCAAAGCTGTTCCAACAGAGAAACACTCCCAAGAGCATCTGTTCTGACAAATATAAGAAAGAAAAGGGAGAAAGAGAAAATGGGGAGAGGATAAAGGGAAGGAGGGAGAAGCAAAGGGGAAGGAGGGGAAAAAGAAAAAGGCGGCGCCATAAATAGTTAAGCTGCACTTAAACATGCTCAGGAGCCCAATCCTGTGATCAGCCCCCAGGGAGTGTGAGTGCAGCCCGCAGGTTTGCCAAGCTCTAAATGCTGTCACCCGCAGAAATGCTGTCAGTGTCCTTGTGGATGCTATGACTGCGCCCAGGCCCGGGCAGGTGGAGCTCAGAGGCCCCAGGCTGCCTTCTGGCTCTCACTGCACCAGCTGGCCGCCGGCTACAAAGCTCAGACAGCACCTCTCTCCCCAGGACGCCGTGCTGAGCAGGTGAGGGGCCAGCTGGCTTGGTCCTTTCTCAGAGAGCTGAGCTAGAATGAGGCAGTGCCCCCCTCCCAACCTATGTGAAATGCTCGGGAATGATCACTGCAAAGGAGACTCCAACTGTCTCCTGTTTCCTCCTTCACGGCCACAGGAATCCACCAGGTTCTGGCCAAGCTTCGAGGACGGGTCCAGGAAAACGGGCTGCCCAGGGGGACATGTGGTACCACAGGCAGGGAGGTGCCAACTGCCTGGCCTGCCTGCACACTCTCTGGGAGACTTGAAACTCTGTCATGAGATCAGCTTCTCATGACCAAAGTGCTGTTCCCACCAGCCCATCCCCCACGCATAAGTGTGGGGTCTCTCCCTCCTTACTTCCTCTTGCCTAAAGGATGATAAACGTGGGCCTTAAAGTTACTTCTGCGTGAGACCCTAAAAACTCAGAACTACAGAAAGAAACGGAACAAGACCACACAGCCCACTGAACCCAAAGTCCTTGGGTCACATGCCGAAAACTAAAGCGCCAACTGGCACACGAGACAGGCCTGACCTTCCAACAGACTCCTGGCTGCAACCGGGCACCTTCTCCGTGACAGCGCCAGGCGCTCGGTTGTTGCCCTAGATTAATGGGCCAGGCCTCAGTGTCAACGCTGGGCTGCTCTCCTGATGACCCTCAGCCTGGCTGGACACATGGCCTGGGCCCGCCTCACAAGGGACTCATTTGGGAAAGAAGTGAGGGACCTGGGTCCCCTGCAGTGTGGTTCAAACAGGCACAACTAAGCAATCTGGACATGGATGGCGTGGGTACCAGCCTCCAAGGCAGGCAGCCAACAGTGCCTCCCCTCCCGTCAGTGCCGACGGCTGCTATGGGCTTCCCATGGAATCTGAGTGTCCCTGTGACGACTCTGATCGACAGGGCGCAGTGACTGGCCCGCATGATCTGGAAGATTATGCTTTGTTCTCTTGGAACCCAGCTGCCCTGCGTCAGGGGTGTGTAGGCCCTCCTGGTGGAGAGAGGGGACGTGCGGGGGCCCCGGAGGAGACCCTGACTGCACAGGCCACATGACGCAGCACTGCAGTGCCCTGCGGGCAGCGCCCGGGCTCCGGGGTGAGATGCTTTCTTAGACCTTCCAGCCCAGCTACCAGGTGAACGCTGTCACATGAATGACCTCAACATCACACAGAGGAAACTGCCCAGTCAGCCCACAAAACTGGGAGAAATAATAACCTGCTGATGGTTTAAGCCCCGAAGCTTGGAGGTGGCCTGCTTACAGCAAGAGAGAACTGACACAAATGGTAAACTAGACAGAAAAAGGGTCAAGGAACAAAACATTCGGGATGATGGTTCTCTCTGGATGGGAGGAAGGGCAACCAGAATACTTGGAATGCTCTATTTCTTTACTTGGATATACCTCGATTGGTTATTTAAACTAAATATGTACGTTTCATATACTTTTATAGGGGGACATTTCCAAAATGTGTATTTATATTCTTTGCTCATTCTTTAAAATATAATTTTATTGATTTCAGAGAGGAGAGGGAGAGGGAGAGGGAGAGAGAGATAGAAACATCAATGATGACAGAGAATCATTGATCGGCTGCCTCCTGCACACCCTACATTGGGGATTGAGCCCGCAACCCAGGCATGTGCCCCAACTGTGACCTCCTGGTTCATAGGTCGACATTCAACCACTGAGCCATTTCCCAAAATTTGGCTAAATTTTTTTTTAAATATATATTTTATTGAGTTTTTACAGAGAAGAGGAGAGAGGGATAG